CCCACCTTTCTGTTTCCCCCCCCCACAGATAGCCCAGCTCTATAACCTAGTCCAGCAGTGGGACAGCACGGCGTCGACTCTCCCTCAGGTGGTGGACAGGCTGGTGGCTGTCAAGGATCTGCACGAGCAAGGTAGCGGCACGCACACCCGCAGCACACAGTCCCCACTCCACCCCACCGAATCCTGCACAGTACCACTGCCCCCTCCCCTTCACCCTCCGAATCCCCTTCACCCTCCGAATCCCCTCCCCTTCCTCCCTCCCCCTGACCCCCCCCTCCCTCCCCCTGAATACCCCCTGTAAATTATTTGCCCCGCTGACTGTACAGGGCAGGGTTGGGTGTGCGCTGTGGGAGAAGGGGGGGGCAGAAGGGATGGTGGGATGGTGGGATGGTGGGGGGGGTTTGGGCTGTGAACCCAGACTCTGATGTCCCCCCCCCCACCTCTCTTTCCCCACCCCCATCTCGGTCTTGCTCCCAGCCATGCAGTTCAGGGGCAGTGTGGGGCGTGTGGTCTCTGAGGAGGGGGCTGATGGGGTGGTGGTGTGGACACAGACACGGTTTGACCCTCTCTCTCTCTCTCTCTCCTCCCCCCACCCTCCCACCTGCCCCAGCCATGCAGTTTGGGCAGCTCCTGACCCACCTGGACACCACCCAGCAGGTGATTGCAGGCACCCTGAAAGACAACACTTCTCTGTTAACACAGGTACGTACTGCTCAGCCCTGGTGGGGTGGGAGGCAGGAGCCCTGGGGGAGGGGATGTGGGGCGGGGAGTGGGGGGGGTGTGGGTGTAGTGGATGTTGTGTATCTGCCAAACCAGGCTGAAGGGCCCAATCAGCCTACTGCTGCCGACTCATTACGATCCTCCCCTGTCTCGTCTCTACCCACTTCTGCCTGCTCCTCAGTCTCTCCCCACGTCCCATTCCCGACCAAACCCCTTCTCTCTCTCGCTCTTTCTTTCTTTCTGTCTCTCTCTCTCTCTCTGTTTTTCTCTCTGTCTGTCTGTCTCTCTCTCTCATATCCCTTCCCCTGTTCCGTCCCTCTCCCCGTCCCTCTGACCCATCTCTCTCTCTCTTCCCCCTCTCTAACGTTTCTCTCTCTTCCTCTGTCCCTCCCTCCTCTGACTCCCTGACCCCTTTCTCTCTCTCTCACTCTCTTTCTGTCCTTCCCACCCCTTCTGACTCTCTGCTCTCCTTCCCTCTCTCCCTCCCCTCTGACTCTCCTTTCTTCCCCTGCACCCCCACCCCGTTCGACAATGGCGACTCTGTCGAGCTGTCTCTCTTTCCAGGGGCTCGAACCCGTGTCCCTTGCCTCCCGGGTCTGTGCGAACTGGACAATGCAGCATCTTGGGGTCGGCAGGGAGTGACTCAGCCCTTAACCCCCAGGGGACGGGGTGAAGGGGAGATGGCCTGGTACCGGGAGGGAGGGCTGGGGCTGTGCGGTACGAGTGCGGTGTGGTCTCTCCCTCACTCTCTCTCCACCCCTTCCTCCCTGCAGGTACAGACCACCATGAAGACCAACCTAGCGCTGGTGCAGGAGAACTTTGTCAGCCTGGACGCGAGACTGAAGAAGCTGACAGCTTGAGGGGAGTGGAGGAAGACGCGGCGGAGGGGGTTGCTGGGGGCAGTGGAGTAGGGGAGGAGGAAACCAGCCAGGAGACTGCATGGCACCCCCACCCCTGCCTCGGGTGGGAGGGGTGCGCTACTGACGGTCCCTGCCCACCCGCCTGACGCCGTTGCCTCGAGATTCCCAGAGTTGGGCTTCCCTGTCCCACCTTGCCCCTTTCGCGCCCTCACTTTAAATTATTATAACCACCTTTTCTCTGCCATGTGCCTGCCTCATCGAAGATAAACACGAATCCCTGGCCAATTGGCGCGCAGGACGTATCTGACCTCCCCCCCCCCCCCCCCCCCCCCCCCCCCCACACCCACACCCACACCCACCAACACTCGCCTCGCTGCATCGCCGAAACAGTGAGTACGTACTAACCCCTCCCTTCCTTCCCTCTTGGAAATTGCACAGCTTCGTTTCCCATGGCCTCCATCCCCAGCCCCTCCTCGTCAGGTCAGAAATGTCCCCGCGCCTTTTCTCAATCGATGTAGCTCCCCCACCTGCCCGGCTTCGTTGGCAGTGCATTCAACAATAAAACACTCAAAACAGGCCCTGACTCTGATCTTGTCTCCTCTCTCTGTGCCGCAGGACCCTGTGACAGTCCGCGTCACTGAGGGGAGCGGCTGGGGGCCCTGTGACAGTCCGCGTCACTGAGGGGAGCGGCTGGGGGCCCTGTGACAGTCCGCGTCACTGAGGGGAGCGGCTGGGTGTGGTAGGCTAGTGGGAGTGATGGAGAAGTTATGGGAAAGGATTCTGAGGGACCGAATATTTCTGCGCTTGGAGAGGCTTGAATTAGTTGGGAATCATGCATTTGATATGGTCGACACGGACCTTAAAGCGTTTTGATAGGGTCCCTCGCACCTGGTTAACACAGTGAGAGATTCCTGGTGCAAGGTGAGACATGTTGGTCCAGGGTTGGCTGAGGGCTGCGAGGGGGATGTGACTGGGGTGGTCAGCGCTGGGACCCTTGCTGTCTCAGGGTGCATGTTTTCTCACTGACTTGAATGTGGAAGGGGTGGGGCGTGAGAGCAGGAGCATGTCCATGTGCTGGCCACCTGGACACAGCAGGGTCCTGAGGCAAAGTGAGAGGTGTGTGGACTTAGGGAGGGCCAAAACAGACCCAGGGATGGGACCCTGGCCACTGCTGCTGCTCTGGGTGGGGTGGGGCCTGGTCCACACATCCACGTGGTCCCTGAAGGCAGCGGTGCAGGTACGTAAGATCGTTGAGGAGCCCGACAGAGGGTTACACATACACCTTCATGAATACAAGAGCAGGGAGTAGTATTAACCGTCAGTCAGACCACACAGCAAGTGTACAGCGTCCCATTCACGGGACCGGTGCAGTCGGATCTTTGTTGACTGGGGCGGACGCGACGCGATGGGCTGAACAGCCTCCTGCGCTTTAAACGACCACCGAAGGGAAGCAGACCAGTGACTGATGAACTCGCCCTTTCCGAAGATGTGGGTGATGCCCAATATTTTAGCACCAGTACCTCACCTCCCCCCACTGCCCCCAATCCCCAGAGATGGGGTGGGGGGGTGGGGTGGGAGTTGTCTTTGTGGGTGTAGCAACGTCCGTCACAGGCAGATGTACACCATTCGGCCCCTCGTCTGCATACTGTCCCCAGGCCCTTGTTACGTTTTTATTTGGACCTGGACCTGGCTAGGCCAGAGTTACATTATCTGGAAGGCGACCACCTTGCTGTGGGTGGGGATGGCCTGGAGTTACATGGATTCCCCTAAAGGGATGGGAGTAAAGCTGAGAGGAAGGGGGTGGGTTTGTTTATAAAACAGCAGCAGTTAACCTGGTCAGCGTTAAGCTTCCTCCCCACTTTTTAATTAGAGCTACTCCAAATGTAAATTTCACCGTCGAGAAAGAGGGAGGGTGACCCAATGGTGAGGGGCTGGGGTGCCCCAGGCTCTAACAGAACCGGGTTTATTTTTGGGTGTGTATGTGTGTGTGTGTGTGTCAGTGGGAGCGGATATGTTGTTTAATTTAAGCCCTGGGTAACTTCACTTTGAAAGCACATCAAAGGAGAAACAAAGCAAAATAATTGCTCTCTGTGTAGAGTTGACAAACGGGGAAGGAAGGGAAATGGATGGTGGATTTGTCCGTGCAATTAAAAAAAAATACCTCTGTATAAAAATACGCACACATGTACACTTCAGCTGACCCCCCTGCCCTCCAGGCACAATCCGAGGGAAGGCCATATAAGGAAGGCAGACAAGTCGTTGACTGTACAAAAACAGAAGTTGCTGGAAAAGCTCAGCAGGTCTGGCAGCATCTGTGAAGGGAAAATCAGAGTTAACATTTCGGCTCTGGTGACCCTTCCTCCTGAGGACCTGAAACATTAACTCTGATTTTTTTTCCTTCACAGATGCTGCCAGACCTAGAACATAGAACATAGAACATTACAGCGCAGTACAGGCCCTTCGGCCCTCGATGTTGCGCTGACCTGTGAAACCAATCTGAAGCCCATCTAACCTAAACTATTCCATTATCATCCATATGTTTATCCAATGACCATTTAAATGCCCTTAAAGTGGGCAAGTCTACTATTTTTGCAGGCAGGGCATTCCACACCCTTACTACTCTCTGAGTAAAGAACCTACCTCTGACATCTGTCCTATATCTATCACCCCTCAATTTAAAGCTATGTCCCCTCGTGCTAGCCATCACCATCCGAGGAAAAAGGCTCCCACTGTCCACCCTATCTAATCCTCTGATCATCTTGTATGTCTCTATTAAGTCACCTCTTAACCTTCTTCTCTCTAACGAAAACAGCCTCAAGACCCTCAGCCTTTCCTCATAAGACCTTCCCTCCATACCAGGCAACATCCTGGTAAATCTCCTCTGCACCCTTTCCAATGCTTCCACATCCTTCCTATAATGCGGTGACCAGAACTGTACGCAATACTCCAAGTGCGGCCGCACCAGAGTTTTGTACAGCTGCAACATGACCTCATGGCTCCGAAACTCAATCCCTCTACCAATAAAACCTAACATACTGTACGCCTTCTTAACAACGCTATCAACCTGGGTGGCAACTTTCAGTGATCTATGCACATGGACACCGAGATCTTTCTGCTCATCCACACTACCAAGAATCTTACCATTAGCCCAGTACTCTGTATTCCTGTTACTCCTTCCAAAGTGAATCACCTCACACTGTTCCACATTAAACTCCATTTGCCACCTCTCAGCGCAGCTCTGCAGCTTATCTATGTCCCTCTGTAACCTACAACATCCTTCTGCACTATCCACAACTCCACCGACTTTGGTGTCATCCGCAAATTTACTAACCCATCCTTCTACGCCCTCATCCAGGTCATTTATAAAAATGACAAACAGCAGTGGCCCCAAAACAGATCCTTGAGGTACACCACTAGTAACTGAACTCTAGGATGAACATTTCCCATCAACCACCACCCTCTGTCTTCTTACAGCGAGCCAATTTCTGATCCAAACCGCTAAATCACCCTCAATCCCATGCCTCCGTATTTTCTGCAATAGCCTACCATGGGGAACCTTATCAAACACTTTGCTTTTCCAGCAACTTCTGTTTTTGTTCCTGATTTACAGCATCTGCAGTTCTTACTGTGTTTATTAAGCCATTGACTGTTCCCACCCCCACCGACCACCGTCCAAGGGGGCAAGTGCCCCCCCACCGACTCCTGTCCAGCAGGAACCTACAAACCCTTTCCTCATAGTATGCCCCTGCCTCCACTACAACTCCCAAAGTCAGTTCTCTTAATCTACTCCTTACTCAGTTTGTGTGCTGTCTGTTCTGACAGAGCTACAAGCTTTTAAAACAAGTGAGAATGTGTACCGACAAGGAGGGGAACAGGGGTACGACCGAAGCCCCTCCACGGCTATCTCCCCACCACACGCCCCCCTCCTGCCCCCGCCAAACCCCCAGCGGAGGGGGTAGCTGTTGTTACCGGATTATCTTTTGCTGCTTGCTCTGGGTCCGTCTGCCGAAGTTTCACTTTTGGAGTTTCCTGTGAAGATGAAATATTGATTCTTGTTTTGCCTCAAACAAGGTGCAGTGAGCTACCCTCAGCCCTGACCCACCGGCGGTGCCTGCTCCCTCGGCCCTGACCCTCCGGCGGTGCCCGCTCCCTCGGCGCTGACCCTCCGACGGCACCCCGCTCCCTCGGCGCTGACCCTCCGACGGCGCCCCGCTCCCTCGGCCCTGACCCTCCGACGGCGCCCCGCTCCCTCGGCCCTGACCCTCCGAC